ATATTAGAGAATTAAAAAATTAAATTCTGCGTATTATAATATTATAAACATTGTTTATGTTTTTTGATTTTAATTTCTATCACCAATAGCACTGTAGTGCAATACTTGCCTAAATCGATATGACAGGATGTGACACGAAAATGATAAGAGGATCAGGTGACTGCCCAAAACTTGGGACATGAAAAAGCATTGGATGTCCAGTCTATGTAAATTAGTCAATGGTATTAATAATAAAAAGATATAGTCAAATTCACTATTAATGTGTTTATTAAATTCTTAATGTATATCTACATAATATTATTATTATGTGATATATATATTTATATTTGATGATATATATATTAATAATATCTATATTTTATGAATATTTGTAATTACGATTATATTATATATAATTTGAAATATCTTGAATGTTTTTTAATTTGATCTGTAAGCATTTATATATATATATATATATATATATATATATATATATATTATATATTAGATATATATATATTAGAACTATAAAATAACTTTATTTACCGTTTACATTTAATTCACAGAAAAAAGCCTGTTCACTTATTGGAGCATACATGTATCTCATGAAGGATATTGTTTGTCTTTACTTGTTAATGAAATAAAAGCTACAATTGCAAGAGTCGTTTTCTTAATTTTTCCATCCCTTGTTTTGTCAACTTGTACTAATATTTGCTGTGAATTTCTTGGGCCTACTGGTAATACCAAACGCCCACCAGGAGCTAACTGATCAATTAACTATATAATAAAAAGTATGGTATAAACTATATATAAAAAGTATTTTAGTGAGTATAATAAATTTTTGTATAACATCAACATAACAGATTTTCTTACAGCTTGAGGGATTTCTTTAGCAGCAGCTCCCACATGAATAGCATCATATGGTGCTTTTTCTGGATAGCCTAATCTTCCGTCTCCAACTAAAATATATAAATATTAGAATATATAAATATAGAACATTACATACTTTTTTATAAAGTATACAAATTTATATATTATATAGAAAATTTAAAAAATAATTACCAACTAATTGAACGCGTCCATTTTCAAGAAGTTCTGGATTATCTTTTTGAATGTTTTGCATAGCAAATGCTTTAAGTTCAGGAATATGTTCAACACCTATAGTTAACCCATTTGAGCCTAACATCATCGCCATACATGCTGTTAAATATCCAGAACCAGAACCAACATCTAATGCTCTAGCGCCATCACGTAATTTATCTTTAAGTATTTCTAAAGCATATGCATGCTGAATAATTTCAATTAGTCAATATAATATATCATTGATATATTTTGTATATTATATTTTGATTCATAAATTCATGAGATATATACTATATGAGGAGCACTTATAGTTGCACCATAGCCAATATCCTGTGGAAAATCTATATATGCATAGCCAGAGCGGGTATAATTTCCTCTATCTACAGAAGCCATTGCTTCGTAAACTTTATCTGATTTAATTATTCTTGAAGCTAAATTAAAAAGGTATGTATATAATATAATGTATGTATATGTATGTATGTAATGTATGAAATGTATGTTTATAATATGTATATTATATTATCTATATTATACACAATATATATCTATAATACATATAAATATATAAATAGTATATAGGTATAATAATATAGCTGCAAAATAATATTTATATCACTTACATTTAAGATGTTGTATAAGATCAGTATTGTTTTTTGCATGAAATCTCCCAGGCCAGGCCATTTCATATGCAAATTTAGAAAATAATAAACTTACAACTATGAAAATAAAACACGACAAATATATTTTATGATCGTAATTGTGATTTAATAAAATATTCGATGAATTTTTATTACAAAAAATTACTTGTAAAATTTATTAGAATTACTAATGGAATTGAATGTATATAATAAATAAATAAAAAAAGAATAAATTATATATGCAAATACTTCAATAATATTAAATGACAGGTAAATTGAAGTCGGTTGATTCAATGTATTTCTCGTTGAAGATACAGACCAAATATTAATTTAAATTTCATGTAATATAACCAATACGTTGATTTTAATAAATTTATCTTACAAACTTCAAACCAAATAAAACTGCATAGCACATGTACAAAACCAAATACAAAGAACGTATACGATTAACGTAATAGAAAGAATGAAGTGACATTGAATTGTGCAACACCACAATAAAGATTAGAAATGCACCAATTTTCTCACTACGGTTATGTCACTTTCAATCTTACCGATATATATTCATTTTCATCAATGGTTCATGTTTTCATCACAGATGAGATCGTCTGTGGTTTTCATGTCATATGCGATGTTATCGACTCTATGTAAAATTACAGACGAGATCACGGATGCGGTACATGAAGAGAGATTGTCATAAAACGAGGTATATGAAAAGATCACAGACGTGGTATATAAATAGACATTGCATCACCATGTATTTTTTCGGTTATGGTAAATGTTTCTCAAAACCGTATCATTTTCGTGTCACATTCTGTTGTACCGATTTAGCGACCGCAGCACTACTAGTGACGAAAATTAAAATTAAAAAAATATGAACAGTGTTGC